GGGGGGGGGGGGGGGGGGGGGGGGTCTTTCGGCACAGACACCAGTGCTGCAAAAGTCCGGGTTAAAGCTAAAACTGAAGTAAACTAAAGCCTAAAGTTACTCCAAGTAGCAGTGTTATAACTCTATTCCCAGTTTTTGCAATAGTTCTAGGGCGGGAGGGGACTCTTCACAACCCCACTTCCCGTCACCCCCCTTCCTCCTGCCCGCCCTGGAGCCCTACTCTTCCCCAACACCTTATTACCTCCCTACTCAAAGTAGCCCGTCCTGGATCCGTTTATGTAGTGGGCGTGAAGTACTGGTGATGGATGCCCTGTGAAAAGGCAGAACAAGCAATTGATCAACTTCCGACGATTGGGGATGCATCTCTAACGAAGGATCGAGACGAGGGCTCGGAAACGGGGCAGTGGAACTTGTAAGAGGCTTGATTCGTTACCTCGGGACAGGTTAACGTGGTCATTCTCTCAAGGGGTGCTGCACTTTTACGGTCCGTCCATTTCAGGATGCCAGTGGGACGAGTTGGAGCACCATGATGGCCTGGAAGTGTCGCATCAGTTGGCCGATTGTTCCGCGATGTTTTCTGGCGTCATCATCTGGCGTCGGCGATGAGGTGAAAAAAGGAAGGAAGTTGACGATTGATCTGGCGCAATATCGACCAGGTTTTCGTTATTATTCGTTCAATTTCTTCCTATTTTTATGAGTGGGAGAAGACCGTGAATTTTTTCGAAGGAACAGTGAAACAGCATCGGATTAAATAATGAGTAATGACGAGGTCCAACTGTGGTAATGGTAAGAAATGTATACAACTTAATGGGGGACCGAAACATTTCTTACCTAATTTATTACTTCTTTTTATATCTTTCCCCTTTTTTACTCTTTTTTGACTTTTCTATCATCCATTTCTACATTTTCTAACAAAATTTTCACTTAACCTTAAATAGATGATGAGTAATGTTTTTATCAGAAAAAGGTGGTAATGAATATAGGTACTTATTTGTTCAGTTCTTTGATCAGTGAATGGTATCCGCGAGAAAATAAATGACCAAATAAGTAG